CTGGGCTAGTTTTGTTTCAATTAATTACACCGTGGGTTCAAATCAAAACTTGAGACCAGAAGCATTATGTTGGTCCAATAGACTTGGCCCATTAGCCCATGAAGAACTAGCACCTCAGCATTAGGCCCAATAGAACGTCCACAGCCCAAGGCGCAACACCGTTTACTTCGTCCGTGAGACCGCGAGTCCGCGACGGTCGACCGTCGAAGAGAGGAGAGCAGGAAGACAGGAAGAGGGTAAGAATGGCGGGCGCCACGAGACGCCGCGACAGGGTCGTTCCCATCATCCAAGGCGGCGAGAGGATCCGGAACGCTTAGCGACTCTGCCGCAGCGAGGGTCATGGTTTGTCAGTGCTCCTCTTTGAATACAGTTGCGCGCTATTAATATTTTGCTAGTTTGGAGCCCCTAGGCAAAAATTGTCGGGTACCTGCATTTGCGCTTTCGCTGGGGCGAGGTATGATACTGCCCCGCTGTTGTGGATGTTCATTTTGCTCTTCTTTGTGCGGTGCAAAGGGTGTTTTCGTGTGAGTTGGTACCACGGTTTGACGGTTCGAAACCTTTATGTTAATTTGATCCGAAAGAGAAGCGTCACAGCGATATTTAGGTGTATCATGCGGTTAGCGGTTTCAGATTAAATGTTTGTACACAGAGCTAGAGGGGATGATCTGCAAAACTAGGCAGAGCTCCCACGCAAAGCATGCGAAGGGAGAAAATGGTTTTGCTTGTTCCAGATGTTGTAGGTAATAACAGACCAAATACATGGCTCACCTGTGATTTGATTCTTTATATGTCTTTGCAAAACTAACCTAAACTGCCATGCCTAGTGTCAAAATTTAAAATTGGTTCGGTTGACTGCACCAGCTGCATGGCCTATACAAGAGTCAAGAGGCCTTCTCATTTTTTCCCAACTGTACTGGAAACAGGTAAGGTCTCTGTAACTGTATTGCTGTCAGTTCAAGAAAGGCACATGGAATTCAGGAAGCCCTCCGTGCATTCGGTGGTTCAGAGATGAGCCAGACCGTTCTTGATGTATCAGGTGCATGCTTCAGTTTAGTTCCCTCTAATTCGCACCTAACATTCTTTTAGATAAATCCTGTTCTCGCACTTATATAAGCACATATGTTCAAGCATAGAAGTTCAGGGAGGTTTCATACAATCACTCAGTGACACCGTTATGGCTTTTCTCAAGCCATCTCTAGTGTTCTGCTCTGTTCTTACTTTTCTGAGCTTGAACTGTGGACCATCTAATGTATTTGCCAAGGTTTATATGGTGGTGATGGAGGATGACCCAGTCATTTCTTACAAAGTGAACCGCAAGCATGTAATGTATGTGTTTTCTGCATAGGAATAAGTTGAATTATATCATCTCCGGGTAATATCAATTACTAAAGTATTTTATTCAGGAGAGGCGAGGAAGCTCAGAAGTACAAACGGGTGGCCACAACAAAGCATGACAGCTTCCTGGACTCATTTCTCCCAGTGGGATCTTACAAGAAACTATACAGTTACACGCACTTGATTAATGGATTTGCTCTCCATGCTGAATCTGAGAAGGTGCTTTTTCAGACTCTATAGTGCATAAAATTCCTTTTATTATTTTCTCTGTTATTTGACTATTTGGGCTAGGAAATGAGGGAACTGTTCCACAAAGCTTCTATTCTCACTTGGCAGAGTAGAATTTCCAGTACCAGGGATAACCTCTACGTGTAGACATCAATCATGAATTCAAGATTGGAGCTGCAAGTATACATGCTAACATATAAACATAATATGAGCAGTATAGCAACTCATGTAAATTCTGGTTATTACCGAATATTATCAGGAGTGTGGAGTATCTTTACAGTGAATTGAGAGTCTGGTTCAGTCTGCTGCTGCCCAACCATAGTTTCTGTCAATAACTAGATCTGCCCCACTTTTTTTTTTTTGCGCAGCAGTATATGACTTACTCTATTTTTCCTGTACTCTGTATTTACAAACTGAAACCCATGAAAGACATGGAGATGTCAACCATCAAATGCAAATCCATTGCACTTATATTTTTATACTGCCCCACGCCAAAGCACAAGTCTAAGGACCGGCCCGTTCTCACAGGGCGATGGTGCCGCTGTGTAAGGGTGGGGCAGGGGTTCGGAGGTTTTCTGGGCCTGCGTGAGAAGGTCTTCTTCTTAATGCAATGCCTAGGGGTGGTCATACCCTCGCAGGTCCAGTTTTTAGCCGTTTGCAAGTTTTATTAAAGAGTTGATGATGGTATTAGTGAATGTCGGCTATTTGTTTCTGTTGGAATTAATAGTTGAATATTTATATTTGTTATATGTGTAATAGATAGTTAGAATTCTTAGTGGTGCAAAAGGAGTTAGACTTATCCAAGAAGACATCAAAATGGCCAAGATGACCACACATACACCAAGTTACATTGGAGCTAGTGCAGTCTGGCCGCTCCTGGGTGGTGCTGAGAATTCCGGTGATGGGGTGGTGATTGGCATGATTGATACTGGGATCGACCCTAAGAACCCAAGCTTTGCTACCAGCAACACGTCAAGCCAAGCGAAACCACCACCGGCTAGTTTCAAAGGAATATGTCGTACTGGGAATAGATTTCCTCCAGATTCATGCAGTGGTAAGATAGTGGGAGCTAGGTGGTTTGCACGTGCTGCCCAAGCGACTGGGGAGTTCAATGCTACAATTCACTATGAATCTCCTTATGATCCAGATGGTCATGGCAGGTTTGTCCAATTCTCTATTATATGCTGATAACTGTATTAATTCATTTTATCCTCAAAATGCGTCAGCAGCTGATCATAAAAATATATTCACAGCCACACCGCATCGATTGCAGCTGGGAATTTCCATACGCCACTAATATCCAGAGGCTACAACTTTGGGTATGCAAGCGGCATGGCCCCTGGAGCTCGGTGAGTTGGACTGAAGGAACAATCCTTTTTCAGCATTTCAGATGTTTTTTTGCAAGATAGTATTTCAGATGTTGAAACTTGAAAGCCAACAAGGGAAGTAGTGTATGTAATCTTACGCTCTGTTGATTGCCCTTTCAGTCTTGCAATCTACAAAGCTGCCTATCCTTTCGGTGGATACATGTCAGATGTGATTGCTGCAGTCGACCAGGTTCTTTGATATACTCTACAGAAAGCTACTGTCGTTCAATCTGTATGCTAAACTGTGTTACTTGTATGTAGGCAGTAGAGGATGGGGTCAATGTTATAAGTCTTTCTATGGCTCCTTCTTCAGTTTCACCTGGGCCAGCATCTTTCCTCAATTTGCTTGAGGCACAACTGCTCCTTGCCACAAAGGCTGGAGTGTCAGTTGTTCAGGCCGTTGGCAATGCAGGACCCGATGCAAACACGGTCGTCTCTTTCAGCCCATGGATATTAAGTGTTGCTGCTTCAACGACAGACCGGAAGTATAGAAAATCAATCATAATTGGCAATGGGAAAGTATTTTCTTGCGGCACCCTTTCAGGTAATTCATTTCAACCTATCTTGGTCGTTGATCAATAATTTGTAGCATTTTGCCAATTTGTTAGCATAATGCCCTCGGTATTTCCTTATGGTGGGGGTCTGGGGAATGTAATTTCTAGACAGCCTTACCCTTGCATAACTGTACCTGATCTTGGATAGGACAACATCATTCTATAACTAACAAATTCAAGTAGATCTAATGATTGACCATATCACAATGTGCCTATGGTTCAATACTTCACTCGATGCCAAATTTGTTTTAACCCCTTACCTGTCTTGCCAGCACCAACACCAGGTGAAACAATGTACCCACTAGCATGGGCTGATGATGTGGTCAATGAGAATTCATCCGATGGGTCTGTCAATTGCCAAGATCCAAAGATCTTCATCAGACCTCTTGTCCAGGGAAAGGTGATTATTTGCATGTTCGACTCATCAAGCTACTATGAAGACGACCCCGACCTTGCTGGTGTTATCGAAACGATTGAGAGAATTGGAGCTGCTGGAGTCATCGTCACCGATCGTTCTTCGGGTGACGTCGACATTGATTATGAGCCTACATTTCCCACGGCAGTCCCTTCCGCCATAGTTCTGAGGGGTTCCGACATGCGAGTAAGTTCCTGACCAAGCTGAAATATCTTAAGAGTTAAGAGAATGCACTACAGCAGTGTTTTGATCAGTACTGGAATCGCAAGATTCTGTTTCCACTAGCTAGGAACTTTTACGTGATCGCATTTTCATTTGCTACTGTGTGCAGGCTCTATTTAGGTACTATGACAACAACACGGTTCGAGATGAACACGGAAACGTGGTCAGCTTCGGAGCGACTGTACGGATTACTGAGGGACGGCGTGCAAGCTATTCGGGAGAAGCACCAGTGGTGGCCGACTACTCCTCGAGGGGACCGGACGTGGAGAACGCACAGATGCAGCCGGCGGAGGTGCTGAAACCGAACGTCATGGCGCCAGGGAATCTCATATGGGGAGCATGGAGCCCGATGAGCAACGCGCTTCCAGAGATCCAGGGCGAGAAGTACGCGCTGCTGTCCGGCACAAGCATGGCCGCCCCGCACGTCGCCGGGGTGGCGGCCCTGATCAAGCAGAGGCACCCGACGTGGAGCCCCGCCATGGTCATGTCGGCCATCATGACGACCGCGGACGTGATCGACCGCTCGGGCCGGCCGCTGACGGCGAGGAGCGACGACGGCTCCGTGGACCCCGCGACGCCGTTCGACATGGGCGCGGGCGCCGTGAACGCGGCGCGCGCGCTGGACCCCGGCCTGGTGTTCGACGCCGGGTACAGCGACTACCTCCGGTTCCTGTGCGCGGTGCCCGGGGTGGACAACGCCGCTGTGCTGCGCGCGGTGGGCGCGCCGTGCCTCCTCCCCCGCCTCGTGCGGGGGCGGGGGCCGGGGCGGCGCGGTGGTGCTCGGACCTGAACGCGGCGAGCGTGACGGTGGCGAGCCTGCTGGGGTCGCGGCGCGTGGACCGGCGGGTGACGAGCGTGGGCGCGCAGAACGAGACGTACATGGCGTACGTGCGCGCGCCCGGCGGCGTGGCGGTGCGGGTGTCGCCGTCGCAGTTCGCCATCGCCCCCGGCGCGGCGCGGACGCTGCGGATCGTGCTCAACACCACCGCGCCGGGGAACGCGTTCAGCTTCGGGGAGGTGGTGCTCAAGGGCGACAAGAAGCACCGCGTCCGGATCCCCCTCGCCGTCTACCCCGCCGCGGCACTGAGCCCATGAACTCGAACACAAAAGTATATACCGCTCGTAGTTACTCTATGTTTGTACGCAGGCAGGGAGCACGCGTTCAAAGTTCAAACTTATATACGTACATGTACATGTACCCGTTCTAAAATTAAAATGCAGAGCCCCTGCTGGTAACGCGGGAATTCTCGTGAGATTGGTTTTGTTCCGAATGGGCCAACCTTGACCTTGACAAGGGCGCAAGGCCGTTGGCTCTTGAGATGGTGAGCAGGCAAAACCACTCCATTTGACCATATGTACGTACTTATGCTCTTAAATTCCACATGTTGGGCGCGGCGATGCTGTGGACCTGGTTTGGGTTCGTGCGTGGGCACGCACGCCTTGCGATGAATGAACTGGCGAGTGACGATGACTTAAGTAGAATAGGATTATCCTCCCATCCATTGACGTGAGAGCGTGACTGAGAATTTGAGATGAGGATGTGGGCAGCATTTGATGACGCGGCGGCGGCGTCGGTGCGAGAGCGACGCGGGCACGCGGCGAGGCGGCCGCGCTTATCCGAGTCCGGCTCCCAGTTTCCACGCCTCCACCTCGGCGCGGACGCGGCGGCGGGCCGGCGCGATGCGCCGCACCTGTTGTATGGAAACTGCAGTTGCGCCATGCATACATGCCTGAATGCCTGACACGTGTTGATTTTATGGTGTATGCGAGCATGCGCTGGATGAGCGTGGCCGCATGAATAAGGTTAGCTAGAGTTAGTCTATTTTTAGCGGAGGACCGCTCCTTGGTCGTTGAAAATCCAACAGGTGTGAGGCATCCACGCCATGTATGCATAGGGCAGCTATGGATACCGTATGCACATAATTTTTTTCCCGCACGTGAATCCTAGTGGTTGTACGGGTCTGACATGTCTTTTTTTTTATCGACTCCATTCGTGTCCATGGCAAATGGCATGCTGAGACGCCACCGCCCACCGGTGTGCGCGGTTAGTGTGCCCACGCGTGTGGGCTCCCATGCGCAAGCGCAACCGTGAAGCCACATCGTCCGTCCACCCATGGCCCACCCGTCAATGTGTCCAGTGACGCTGGTGACTCTTGATTCGCGTTTTGTGCGGTGGGGGGGGTCACCCACGGCGAGGCGCACGATCTCAGTGCGGCAGCTGTGAGCCGTTGATGCTGCACACGTTTGTTTCGGCCGAGACTAGCAGCAAACTCTAGACAAAAATTGCCATCCACGATCGCCACCACGAAAAGAGTCCCCGTGAGATCGAGAACCTCTGAACCACACGGAAAAGGAGACGCGTGGCTTGTGATTGCACTGAATGGAGAAATTTTGATATTTAACCTATATTCGCGCGCCCCTCAAGATTTGACATTAAATTCGCAGGCCTTTTAAAATATAACCCTACACCTACGAATTCCTTTGAAATTTAGGATTTTTTAGGATTTCTCCCTTTTATTAATTCAAAGGGCCTCTTTTCACTGTTTGGGACACGCGAAAAGACCAGGATTGCCCTCTCTCTAAATGAATCGAGTCACACTTCTCTCCCCTGTTTCTAGTCACGCCTCGCACGAGCCGCGACCCCGCACCAAGAACGCCGCCGCGCGAGCTCCCTACCGCGGCCTCTAGCCGGGTCCCGCCGCGCCGGCGAACGCCCTATACATCCTCTGCCTTGTCATCCCCACCTTCGCCACCTCCGCCACCCCGTCTGCCCCACCTCTGTCTGCCTCGGCAGGAAGGCGCTAGGGTTCGAGGGGCCCTGCGCCGGCCAACAACAGGTCGCCCTCCACTGCCCGGCGGGTGAAGGGGCCGGCCAACAGCAGGCCGCCCTCCATGGCAGCTCCTCCAGGGTAAGAGCCCCAATCCCAAACCTTCTCACTATACTGCATATTTAGGGTTCCTGGTGATTTAGGGCACAATCTAAGTTGTGTCCTTTTATTTTTTGTTGGTACCTGGTGGAATCGATCCGGATCCGGATGGAACATTTAGATTGTGTGTTCACTTTTCTCCGTTCACAGCTAAGTTGAATGATGGCTGCTCTGTTGATGTGCCACGCAAATGTGATGAATGGGTTGTGGATTGTCGATATTATACTCTACAGATGCTATGAAGTGATTTGAAAGCTAGGGTGAACTGGGGAAGTGGGCAGCAACCTATGATAAATGAATTTGATGAGTGGTGGTGGAGAAAGGAAGTTGCTGGATGATACAGATCTGCCACTTGCATTTGCTGAAAAGATGGATGATAAGAAGTTGTTCTTGTTTGTTGATGTTGAGGACAAACCAGAAATGTTTTCCAACTCAGCTGTTACAGAGGCAGCAGTGAGTAATGTGGGCCAGGATAATGCCACAGAACCTGGGAATCAAGCAATCCTGTTGTTGTTTCTCATGAAATTGATTGGGACAGTCTGGAGATAACTCCTCTTGCAGAAGACCAGATTGGTATTGCACTTCCTGTGATGGATGAGGAAACAATTTACGAGTTTGTTGGGCTTAGAGCAGAGGATGAGAGATCTAAACAAGCTAGTATGGTATATTTGAAAAGGAGAATGCAACTAATCTTGATGATGTGGACCTACAAGGTACAGAGTTGTTGGTTGATGATCATGTACCTGGTGAGGATTCTGTTTTGTATGATAGAGAAAACCCTTCAATGCAAGTTGGAACCATATATGCTAGTATGAATGAGTTCAGGGCTGCAGTGCGATAGCATGCTATAAAGGAACAATTTCAACTTGCAATAGAGAAATCTTGTAAAGATTTGTTCAGAGGGCACTACAAAGCTGAGGGTTGTTAATGGTCTATTGTAGCAAGGTTGATGCGAGATCAGCAACAAGTCAGGGTAATAACATCTTCACATGCAGCATGCTAACTTAATATATTATGCACTCTTGTAAGTCATGCATGTATGTTATGGTACTAACATTTTTGTTTCAATTTGACAGGTTACACTGAATAAAGGAAAGCATTTTTGTCCGTTTACTGCAAGAGTGAAAACCAAGATGGCAAACTACAAATGGGTAGCAGAGAAGGCAATCCCTTTTCTAAAGAAAGATCCAAACATGGCTGCAACGAAACTGCAGAAGGAGTTAGAGGATAAGTATCAAGTCAAAATTGGGTATGCCACTGTGCATCTTGGTAGGGATGTTGCAAGACAACACATTTTTGGCATATGGGAAGAAAGTTTTGGATATTTGTTCAACTTCAAGGCAAAGATTGAGCTCAGAATGCCAAGAAGTGTTGTAGAGATAGAGGTCGTGAATAAGGAGTAAGGTGTATTTTTCCATAGATTCTTTTGTTGTTTGAAGCCAAGCATTGATGGTTTCCTAAATGGTTATCGGCTATTTTTGAGTATTGACTCTACAGCTCTCAATGGTAGATGGAATGGACATCTACCTTTAGCTATAGCACTAGATGGGCACAACTGGATGTTTCTAGTTGCATTTGGATTTTATGATGGTGAGACTACTGATAATTAGACTTGGTTTATGCAACAGCTGCAGAAGGCAATTTGGAATCCACCTCACCTAGCTATAAGTTCAGATGCTTGCAAGGGCCTAGAAAATGCAGTGAAGAAGGTATACCCTTGAGCAGAGCACAGAGAATGTTTTGTCCATCTGATGAAGAATTTTAGCAAGAGGTTTCAAGGGCTTGCATTTGGGAGAATGTATCCTGCAGTTAGGACTTTCTAAAAGTGCAATCAAGCCATAATTGTGGGTTTTGGTGATAATGACCACGCAATTAGAGAACTAATGAGATTTATCGAGATGACAAGCAGGGAATCTATATTCGAGGATGTTACACGAAATAGAGGAGCTCCCAATTATAAATGTTGATGGCTTCAAACTCAAATGAGATTTAAATTCTTTTATATTTTGAATTTGAGTATAAGAAAAGCCATACTATAAAGAGGGACATAATGCTTAAGCTAACATGTGCTACCAAGTGCTCAATCTTACACATACATCCTCAGTTACTCAGCCAAGACAGCCAACACTTCACTCTTATTCTTGCTGTCTTGCCTGGTGCAGTAGTGCCGCACCTGAAGAGAGGCACTGCCATAGTGTGGCACTGCTGCGACTTAAGTGACCGTTGGGGCTGGTGGTACTTATACCTTTCCCCTTCCTCCCCAATGTCTCTCTTCTTTCTCTCACTCATTCAGCTCGTCTAAGAACAAAAGAGTGCCCTTCTCTCTCTCCTCCATTGGTGACCTTGAGCTCCCAAGCATTCTTCCTTGATTTCCCCATCAATCCTTGAGAGAAAAAGGTCCCAAACTCAATTAGAGAGCAGATCCTTTGATTCCCCAACTCAAAAGAGCACCTGGTTCAGATTTTAGCCGGCGGTTGTGTTTATTACTCTTGGAGATTTGCTCCTAGCCGGCTAGAGCGTCACCCGTAGAGCTTGCCAACTTATGTGGCAGCCCTGGGAGGTTCGTAACCACCTCTCGACGCTAGTAAACTCACCCCTCATCTCAAGAGTTGAGTCTCTTGACTTGAGAACGAGGAAGAATTGCAAAGCCCTAAGCCTTAATGGCTAACCTCAATAACGTGGACGTAGGCAAGCCTTGGTGACGAGTTGAACCACGGGTTAAATCATCATGTCACCTTATGCTTGATTTACATCATTTGCATTTCATATTGTTGTTGAGGTGATTTTAGGGTTTGTGGTCGATCTACTTGTGTGTTGTGTTCCTACCACTTCTAGCTCTCGATCTGTGAATCTCATACCTGCAAGAAGCTAAGAAATTTCTCCGATTCAAATTTACATTCACTGATTTTGAACTATGACTTAAAGTTGTCTATAGGTGCGGCAGTGCAACTGTTCTGGCCTGGCAGTGCCGCTGTCTAGCAGTGCTGCAAGGTTAGAGCGGCAGTGCCACAGGTTGAGTTTGATGAAAGTTTGAGTGTTTGTTTTGACAGGCCTATTCACCCCCCCTCTAGGCTAACCAGAGATCCTACAAGTGGTATCAGAGTAGGTTATCTCGTGTGTGCTTCACCGCGTGAGGTATGGAGCCCAGAGGAGGAACTAGTGGCGTGA